TACTTTCAATATTATCATATAACATTTTACACATTCCATTAAAAAATGTGAGACATAAGATAATACTTTACACTTTCAATATTACACTTTACACGTATATATATTTATACGTATATACATATTTGTATATATATATATATATATATATATATATATATATATATATATATATATATATACAAACAAGTATATATAAATACGTACATATATACTTGTGTGTGTATATATATATATATTCGTATATTGTATTTATATACATCTATACAAGTATATGTATATATATATGTATGTACGTATTTATATATACTTGTTTGTATGTATATATATATATATTAACAAATACACATGAATCAATGTGCATTAAATATTAAAGTTCTCCTATAAAACTAGGAGATATTTAATGCACCACTTTCCCTAAAATTGACATTTATGTCTTTATATCTAATTAGTGTACCTTTTTTTTTAAATATTTTTTAATATGTAATTTTTACCAAATAAGTCTAATTAGGTGTACCGACTTCCAAAAATCCCATTTAAAAATTTTATTTGAGGCCTACAAATTAAATTGGGACTAATTAGACCTAAATCTAAAAGTTCATTTGGAGTACTAAAATTAGAATCAGACTTGACTAGGGTTTCAATATTTTTATGTGGAACCCTAACAGTAAAATTAAAGTTAATTAAACATGAATCTAAAAATTATGTTTAAGACCCTAAAAATTTAGGGGCCAAAGGCGGCGGCGGCTTGTCAGCCATGTGTATTCAATTCTAATCTTACCATCTAATTAATTGTGTTGCTAATCGGACATAATCATTGAGCATATCTTGTAGCCAACCCAAAAATATTAGAATACAATTTTGTTGAGTTGAATAAAATTTATCAAGTTTTGGTCGATACCCATAACCTGCAAACTAGAAAACCTAACACTAGGAGTCTTTTTTCTCACAACTAAACTAATCACATATGAATCCCCATAAACTAACAATATATTGGGTAAATTATACTTCATCCCCTTAAACTATTATCTTTATTTTATTTTGCACCATCAACTATAAAATTTCTTATATTGCACAATAAAGTATCAATTTTATTTTATCACTTCAATAAATAACAACCACCAATTTTTTGATTGATTTTTTTTTTCTTCCCTGCAACTATTTGGTTGTAAAAGAGGTAAAATAAAGTGGTACTAAGTACTTGGTGGGAAGTTCTTTGGGGTTTCCCTACCTCCTTTGACAAATTTTTAATTTTTTCGTTACCTATTGAAGTAATATGAAACAAAATTAATACTTTAGAGTATAATATGAGAAATTTTATAATTAATGGTGCAAAGTAAAATAAAAGTAATAGTTCAAGGGATAAAGTGTAATTTACTCCAATATATTGGATTCAAATGTTGTTAAAACCAAGTAATTTTTTTTTAAATTACATAAGGATCCAAAATACCCAATCAAAACTTATGGTAAATAAAAAGAAGATACTTTCTTCCCAAAACTAGTTAAACCGATTGTCACGTTAAAATTAAATCATTTGTGTTTGACACAAACCTTATTGTTTTAAGGGAAAAAGTGTAATTAGTCCCTTTTTTACATATCAATAGAGCCTGGCATATGATAATCACATAAGCCAGCAAACACTCAAGGCACCAATAGTTTTTACGGTCTTTTCATTCATCTTCGCCTTTTTCATAATCCCGATAGATATATATTAAAATTTTATTTTTTGTACTAAAACTCAATTTATTATTTAATATTTTTTTTTATTTTTTATTGGCAATCCGCATGAATAAAATGTTTAAATTATATTAAATCTATGTTATGCATTTGTGTTTTTTATTTTACATTATAATTAATCTAGTGTGTAGAGTTCGACTTTAATACAAAAGATCAGATTATCAGACCCTTGTATGATATGAGTAAAAGTTCACAATCTTAGATGAAATTAGACACACTATCAATAAGATTATAGTGCAATCTTCTGACATAATCTTTCTTGGCTATAGGAGACTGTTTGACGTCTCGAATTGTTGTCCTAGTACACTTTGTGTATTGAACTAGACCTTTATTCATGTTATTATCTTTTTACTGACTAAATAAAAAAATAAATACCTCAAATTATTATGATTTCTTAAGCTCTTAATCTTAAGATATTTAATAAAAACATGTATATAATAATTGTTACTTTAATTTATTAAAGAGTGATATTCATATTTGAGTCAACAAACTCTGTGAATTGAGAGATGACATTATTTGTGTGGTAGAAATTAATTATTAAAGGAAATTACAACCCGGTATTTAAATGGGTTGATGATGTCCCATTGAACAAACTCATAAGTTTTGTGCATTTCAATCCTTACAGGTGTATTTAATTATTTGACACGACAAATATATTGAGTGATAAGATCTCAAGAATAAAAAAAAGTCAATTAAATTTAATTGTCAGTAATTTGATTGATTGACGAATATCTCTAATCTTAAACATGAAAAAATTATTAAGCATATAATAACAAAGTACTCGAAATATAATTTTGAGATAAAGCATATGAGATCAATAATAACTTTTAATTGACTCCCTTATTATTATTAGATCATAGAGAAATTTATTGTATGTGGAATATAAGATTCCTAAGCCTATTTGAGACCCGACCTTTATTTCTCCTTAGGGTCTCTACTGTAGTCCATAAATACACGCACTTTCTACTTCTCTCAATTAGACTTTACATTCACGTTTAGAAGAGGCAGAGAGAGAAGGAGTAAGGAAGAAAATTCGGAGGATTTCAGTCCAAGCTGTATTCGAATTTTGGCATTGAAGGACATACGGTAGAAGATCGTGTGATCCATCGAGCCGGTTGCTCAGTTTTTGATCGTGTTGTTCTGGTCATCGAACTTAAACTCTAATTCCACCGTATAAGGTTAACTGACTAATAAATTTTTTGTACTTGAGTATACTCGTCGTCGATGAATCTGGGGAGTGTCGTTCCAACAACTCCTTCCTCTCGTGTCCCATGCAAAGGTAAAGTAGGCCAAAAAAAAAAAAATAGTAAAAAACCCTCTCCTATCAATTTTTTCAAGCATTTGCAAGGGTGTCACAAGGGTGACAAGGTTAGAGGGCTCAATGAGCTTAAAAAGTACCTCAATGAATATGCTTGCTTGAATTATCCCCATTCTGAATATCAAACCCATGGCTACAATCAGGGCAGAGCCAGGACTTATCTTTCGGACATAAGAAATATGATAAATTTATCTTTCCTTTTGTTGTGAATCCTACTTTAAGACCAACCTCAATATTATTAAGAAATTGATTATTTAGAACATAAATATTTTTGCAGTAAAACATTTTTCCATTTACATCTAATCATGGAGGAGAAATTACTAAAAAAAATTAAAAGCAATGCTACAAAATTCAAATGGAACTCAAAAAATCACAACTCAAATGTATATCAACATTTGGATGAGTAGTTCCCATCAATTTTTTCAATGAGACCCACTCATCCAAGGGTTGATATGTATTTGGGTTTTAATTTTTATGTTTTATTTGAGTTATGTACTATTTTTCAAAAATCAATATCAACCATAAAACTGATTTTAGAAATAAAGGGCATTATAGTAAATTAAGTCAAAGATCACATGGTCAACTTGTCCTTCATTAATTTTTTTAAAAAATATCCGATAAAATAGAAAATTGTATCTAAGAATGACGTGCCATTTGATCTGCGAGTGCATAATTGGAAAAAAGCAGTCATTTCCTCAATATATCTTACCATTTTCTTGCAAAACTAGAGAGGTGAAGTGGTTGGATTTTAGCTGTACTAGTTTTAGAGGTGGGTTTACAGTGGATTGAAATAGTGTGGCTTTAGTTAGTTGTTCTCTCTTTGCTATTTTATCCGATAGAATCATAATTTCTAATGAGACAATTGAGCTAGCAAAAAGGGGAGGAATAGATGCCTTACTCTAAAAGCAAACATGAGCAAAGCTTTTTGACTGTTAAGTTTGTATTCTTCTCTGTAATGGGGGAGAACAAGTTCAAAAAAATATATGTAATAGGGAATGTTAATATATGACTTGTATTCCAAGTTGGTGGAACCGAATTTCGTGGTGTCGTTAATGCTTATGTTGAAAGTTATTTTGGTGATAGTTCATGAAGTGGATGTACTCTTTGGATAAGACTCAAGAGTGTTTGTTTTCAGATAGAAGATTGTTTCATTATTTAATTGAGAATGTATTGAAGTATTCAACCGGTGATGAATTTTAGTCCTACATAGACTAATGTGATTTAAACTTCTTGCCTTATAGGAGTTCTCTATTATATAAGCATAGGAAATTTCGGTACTCCAAAGATATACCATTGGTTAATGACGTCGTCAATTTTTTCTTCGAATAAGCATTTGGTTTGCTCTATTTTGTTTGTCCAATAATTATTGTAATATTAGAATAGTGCAGGTGGATATTCCTTGCCTTTGTTTCGAGAACTTTACAATTTCTAACCTTTAATAGTGAAATCTGGTCGTTGTGTTTCGTTCATAGGCTTACTTGTTGAGCCGATCCACCTAAATCTTTGTGTTCTATTTTTCCTATTTTGTTGTGTTATTATTTTGCATGTGGTTTTAGTTAATAAGAGGGGAGAACAAGATGCAATTTAAAATAAAAAATAAAGGAGGAGGGAGGGACTGATCTAGTCATTGTGGGTTTTATTAGAGAGCTTGAAGTAAATTTAATCGATTCTGGTCTTCGTTATCTTCCCAAAATGTGTCTGCATGTGCTAGAGAGTGTGTTAAGAGAGAGATTCTTTTGTATGCATTAGTAGTCCAATGTTCGAAATTATCACCACTTTAAAACTTGATTTAACTTCGAAAAGAGTAAAAAGTAAGCAACCATCGGACCAAGTGCTATATCTTATTGGACCCATGTTTTCATTCTTCAAGGGTGTTTAATATCTTTCAATTTGGTTGTTTTCTAACCATATAGTAGTTTATTACATAAGGAAAATGCTCCACATCCTCCTAACGTAAGCAGTTTGCGAAAAAGGGATAAACAGGCTTCATATTCGGATAAAACAGCCCCCAATTCTGCTCAACGCCATTTTCTTTTTGGTTTTCGTTGAAAATTGCAAAAATGAAAGTATCCATAAGTTGGTTTGGCCTCCTTGGAGTCCCCTCCCTTTTAACATGATTGACCAGGTTAGTATTATAAGCTTTTGCAATGTCAATATTTGTGTAAGCACCGTTCCCAGCAGTTGGCCAACCAGTTTCCGAAATCGAGATCGAAACATTCCCTGAATTGATCTTCTCCAATGCTGCATGAAAAGCATCAACCATGGCGTCGAAGAGGCTATTATACCTCAAATTTCCATCCACAACAGGCTGTTTTGAACGGAAAGTTGCATATTCTAAAGAAACATGTTGTGGATCAGAGGCGAAGGCAAAATAAGGGTAAACATTAATCATAAGAGGTGCACCTGCTCGCGATAAAAATGAAGCGACATCCCTCATGACCCCAACCACTTGGCCAGAGAATGCCCCGGCTGAGGGTGGGTAAGACGATGCCAGGGCAGTCATTGGCACAACGGTAGTCACNACATCCCTCATGACCCCAACCACTTGGCCAGAGAATGCCCCGGCTGAGGGTGGGTAAGACGATGCCAGGGCAGTCATTGGCACAACGGTAGTCACCTTTGTGCTAGTCAAACCGATAGCGCGAATGGCATTGTAGATGTTGGCCATGGATCGGGCCACAAATGTGGAATAAGAGCCCGGAATTACCTCGTTGCCTAATGTGATCCACCGGAATATGACATTGCTCTTGTAAGGGAGGACATTGGCATTAACCCAAGCAGTGGCTGCAGTTTGGCTTGACGCAAGGTTACTTAAATCTTCATTTCTCACTCCTAAAGAGACAAGGAGATTTGACCCACGAAGTGCATCTAGTACTTGTGGATTTGGCTCAAAGAGTCTAATGAGTTGAATTCCACACCTTTTGTAGAGGCCTATTACATCTCTTGGAGATGGAAGATTGTTTCCATTTCTACCATAACATACACCAATACCTGTTACATGAGCACAGCTAAATTTTGTTAGCATTTGTTAGTGTCATAGCATCTTAAAATTCTTCCAATTGCTGTTGTTTCAAACTAGGCAAACGTCCATTATAAATTGTATAGAAAGTTGTCATTCTATGTCTAGCATCTTAATTCTTCTCAACAAGAAGCAAATTCTTTGTCATCTACATGTGGTATCTCAATTTTTGTTAATAGGAACTCATTTCAACCATGCGTCACTTAGACTTGCGATTAGCTGCTAACCACTGGCATCGGTTTAACCCAAATTTTATGTGGTCATTATGCCTCCCCCTTTGTTAGACCAATGAAACAAACTGTGCGGATTATCTCAAACTTATTCTACTTTTTTTTTTTAGGGAGGGGGAGGGGGAGGGGAAACTTGAACACCTTTGACCGCAAGAAAACAAAGTCTTTATAAGATAAAAAGTACCATTGAACAAAAGGCCCATTGGTGAGAACACTTTTACCAAATACATATTTATATTGTTAAAAGAAANAGGGAGAGGGAGGGGGAGGGGGAGGGGAAACTTGAACACCTTTGACCGCAAGAAAACAAAGTCTTCATAAGATAAAAAGTACCATTGAACCAAAGGCCCATTGGTGAGAACACTTTTACCAAATACATATTTATATTGTTAAAAGAAAACAATTCACTTAAAAACTTCTATTGATCTCTCTCTCTCTCTCTCTACAAGTGTACTATTGAACAGCTTTTGGGCACAAGCACAAGGCTTTCAAAAACTGTGAACTGTTTGCTATAATGGGAAAAAAAATGGATATCCATTATAAAGTCAACTAAAGCTGAATTTTTGAACAGCTTGATTTGTTGCTTAGCAACTATACAACTTTATAACATTGTCTAGCTTTAGCATATTAGAAAAAAGAGTAATGCTATGTACACTAAATTTATACACAAAATTTCTTGCACCAAATGATGTGGCAACTTCACATTCATTGGATGTGTAATAAGTGTCAATTGGTCCCACAGATCTAATAGCTCACATAATTTAGTGTAAGAATTTGGCGCACTAGCATTACTGTGAGAAAAAAAGCATGTGTTTTCAGCATCAATTTAGAAAAAGGAACCTCACCTTTGCAAGGAAGCAGGAGAATCATAAAAGCAGCCATTGTTAACAGAAACATGAAAGTGTTCCATCTAGGTCCCTTCATCCCTGTGATCTGTGCCTGAAGACAAGGCTCTTATGATAAGTATATATAGTGGTTATATTTCATTAAGTTTTTGAATTTAGCAACGGCTCTATGACCTTGCATTGTATACTTACCTATTTATTAAAGCATTTTTCACATAATATAGGTTGCAAAAATCTACAAATATTGTGGTATAAATATGATGATGTAGTTGAGAATCTAGACAAGAAGCATGAGCATTAAATATCAGAGTCTTTTGTATTGAATCCAATAAACTTGAGGCTTAGTAGATCTATGTGTGAACTGACCTCTCCTGTGTGAGGAAAATTCTACAACAAAATAGTTTTAATGAATCTAACTAGAAATAGACATAGAAAGTGCAACCTTAGATTCTTGAACTATAACCCTTATCTTTTTAAGTTGATATTTTAAATGCAATCCCTAAATTTTCCAGAGCCTTAATTTCATAGGTATTCGTATCAAGTAAAAAAGACTCGCATCAACATCTGAGGTTGAGAGTGGTAAATGGTAAACAATTTTATCTTCAGTTTGGAGAGATCAATGAGAATTAATTCTTGAACTCTGACATATTGTAGGTGCAAATATTGTAATATGAGAATGAAGGTGCAAATATTGTAATATACCGACCACAATAAAGGGACAGTAAAGGGAAATGCTGCCAATGCATGGAAAATTGCTTTTAGGAGTAAGATCTCTGTTTTTTTTTTCCTAATCTCAACGATCCCGAATTTAATAATCTTGAATTCCACTTGTCATTAGTGACAATTTTTCTTCTAGTTTTTACNTTCCCAATCTCAACGATCCCGAATTTAATAATCTTGAATTCCACTTGTCATTAGTGACAATTTTTCTTCTAGTTTTTACGAAGTCATTGGATGAAACAGGCTTTTTTCATATCAATTTCTTCAAATAAGAAATAAATGCATATCCTCTATTTTTTTGAGCATTGGTAGCAAGGGAATTTATTAATAAAGATAAGAAAAGAACCTAGAAGGGGGACATAATGAGTTTTACTCAAATGCACTAATATAATAAAGTAGGTCTATAAAAGTACAACAACTAATACAATAAAGTAGTTCTATAAAGTAAGAAAACAATGCACTGCAAAAGAAAAAACATCAATATTTGAATTAAAAATTATGAGCATCAGAGATATCCTATTAACACACGACACTAAAATGTAAAATCTGATGATGAAATACCAAAATTGACAAGGTAGTCCGCAACATAATTTCCTTCCCTGTAAAACACGAACCTATATCCGACGATAAACTCTCCATTAGGATTCAAGATCCAATGTCACAGATTAAAGTTTGGACGAAATTCCTTGTGCAATAATGAAATATGCCATAGCTGCCTTGCAGAAGAAACAACATGAGCTATTTTGAAAACTTTTGAAATTTGTTGGTTATCTATGATAATAACCCAACACTTACGAGACATTTTTATCAAATGTATCATGTTTTAAGTCGATGTATATACATAATCCGCAAACTGGATAATCAGGGCTAGGAGTCCATTCTTTCCATGGTTCAAGGTTGCCGTATCGACCATCAACTCATAGAGTTATGAGACACAACGGTTGCAGCATCGCGATGCAGTATCGGACGATCCAGCCTAAAGAAAATGTTGAACATGACAAAAAATTCAGGTCATATCATGGTGACGTGGAACCGTATAGGTCAATTTGGTGACGATATTTCAAAGACTAGGAATTGACTCGGACGAGTTGTGCGATACTCGGAGTTTATACTTATCGTGTAACGGTATCGTCTTCAAAGGTGCCGAGACAGATAAGACTCGGCCGACTCGTATCGGTATCGACTGATACTTTGAACCATGATTCTTTCTCAACTAAATCCATCACATGTGAACCCCCAAAAACAAAACATACATTTGATTCTTATGCTAGTCAACCCAAGTAAAAATTCTTTGATTCTATAAGAATTCAAAATACCAAATCCAAATATAGAATAAATAAAATGAAGGTATTTTCACAAAACTACAGTGCTAAAGGCTTAGATTATTTGTGTTTTGCACTAACTAGACACGTTTATTATTCGTATTTGAGAGACGTAGTATTTTCAGAAGAATAGCATTTGATTATATCTGGTGCTGATGTTTAAGATGCATGCACAACACTACATTTACACATTGGAATTACCAGTATATGAGGATCTTCCTATTGATTCTTTGGTTTGGCATTATACTACATATGGGTCCTATGTAGTTCGCAGTGGCTATGATTTGGTTATGGAGCAGTAGTTGCATAAACTCCAAATTTCTTGTGCTGAATCCAGCAGTTGCTCTAAGAAGGATGCGGGTTTCTTTATGCGGAATTTGTCTCTGCCAATCCAGGTTAATCTTCTTCTCAAAAAGGTTTCAGTGGAGAATGAGTGCTTTTTATGTGGTGGCCATCCAGAGTCTTTAGAGCATTTTTTTTTTTGAAATGCCCTTTTATTACTCACATTTGGGAAGTTGCTGGTTCTCCATTCTATCAAGACGATGTTCTCAGTTTTCGTGATTGGCTGTTGAATCTTTCTGCTACATTATTGCCAGATCAAGTGGAACTTATTGTGGTGCTTATGCAGTCTATTTGGTACAATAGGAGTAGAGCTCACCTGGCTCATGGGGTGAGTTGTCCTTACCAGGCTGTTGATTTCTCCATTTCTTATTTGCATCAATACAAGGCTGCCCAACAATATTCTGCTATTCCGACGCAGTCTACCAGAATAGAGGGCTTGTCATAATGGTCTATTCCTTCTAACGGTTTTTTCAAAGTTAATTTTGATGGTGCCCTTTTTACGTCTGTCTGCTGCGGTGGTTGGTGTTGTCATCCATGATTGGAACGGACGTTTTGAGGCTAATTTGACCAGATATATTAGTGGTATCTCCAAGGCGGAGCACATAGAAGTTTGGGCAGCCTTTGTTGCAGTTAAACTGGCATTGGATTCGGGTTACCACAATGCTGCTCTCGAAGCGAGATTGGACATTTTCTGGATAGGATTTATGTGCTAGTTGACAATTTTAGTTGTTTTGATTGTTCATGGGTTCGTAGAGCTGGCAATAGGGTTTCTGATTCCTTAGCTAGATATGCTGCAAATGTAACAGATTGTGTTGTATAGAGAGGAGTATGTCTTGTCTTTTCGGATGCTCCTCTTCAACTTGATTTCCATCTCTAATATTAAATAGTTGCTAGTTTCTTATCAAAAAAAAAAAAAGGTAGAATGGTACACGCAAGAAAGATCCCCAACCGATTTTCAGCCCCAAAGAGTAGACATTTTGATTTACCACAACTCACTCCGAATGAGAAGTCCAATATATCAGCCCACTGCACAGAAGTACATTTGAGTTAAAATATAAATTAATAGTTATTGTTTGTGCCCGAAGGCACAAAGTAATAAAAAATAGTAAGTAATAAACATATTTGTATTTATATTCAAAATCAAATTACAAACATAGAAATTTAAGTATCAGTTTGTAGTGGGGGTGAGAGATGGTGAGCAACAGTGGTGGTGGTAGGAGACGATGATAATTATGGTGGGTGACAATGATCGTGATGGCGGCGAAGACGGCGGTGATGGTGGTGGTGGCGGTGGAGGCGACGGTGGTGGTGGCGGTTGTGGTGGTTGCAAACACTATTTTTTAAAAAATTTATGAGAAATAATTTATAAAAGTACTTTTAAAAAATTATTTCAAACATATCCTTAGGGACCTATTTTTCCTATTAAATTTATGGTAATAATATTAACCGTTAGATTAACTTTAAAATAAAATTTTAAACGATCTCAACAGTGAATATCAAAAGTTATTTTGTTTATTTTTTAAAATTTGAATTATAAACTACTTTATTATATAGATATCGGAATCATAAGATAATTTTTTAGTCAGCATGATCCAACGGATGTATTGTGTGTGTGTGTGTGTGTGTAGGATTATTTTTTTGTCAGTCTGATCCAACGAATGTACTCTGTGTGCGTGTTACAAAGAGAAAAAGAGAAATTTGTCAACATTCAAACCAGGTATGCAGGAGGACCACTACGGTACATATTGAAAATTATATTTTAAGGTCAAATTATAATCCTACAAGAGTCTAAATTATAACTGAAAGAGTCCTCATTAATCATAAAAAATATATTTTTTAATGGTCACTTTTACACCTTTTAAAGACACAGTTATAACTGAATGATGTTGTTCATGATCAATCACAACATTTGTGATCAATGATAAAATGCTGCAACCCGTTCTTTACAAAGAATAACTTGACCTTAATATATTTTTATACACTACCGAAATTTTCTTTTTTTAATACCAGTCTTTTCCTGATTAGACAGGAGAACTTAAGGCAAGGGGGGCAGTATTTTAATCTTTCTGGTTCTGCCAACGCTGGAGGGTGGGGAACTCACAAATCACTAAAAACCAAACGACCCAAGAGGTGGGTGCAACAAANCAGAACTTAAGGCAAGGGGGGCAGTATTTTAATCTTTCTGGTTCTGCCAACGCTGGAAGGTGGGGAACTCACAAATCACTAAAAACCAAACGACCCAAGAGGTGGGTGCAACAAACTCAAACTGGATGGGTTTGCAACCCAAATCTTATAAATTTTTGACACCAAACTGTAATTCTAACCATAAATCTATTTGCTTGTATCACAAATTTAAAGTAAATACTAATTAACAATAAGTGAATGCATGTATATATATAGGCTTAAATTCAGACAATGGGAACCCAATCACAAATATGAAATAAATAATAATTGACTATGTGTGCATGAATGTATGAATATATGTAATTTTGTATATTACTATAATTGACCTAGATAAGAGTTTTAAAACACATAGAAACTCATAACACTGTACCAGTTATTTTTACTACAATCGGATCACCTACCAAGAAACTGTTGTACTGTATATATGTACCCATATTGCATACCAAATCAACCCAGAAAATGTGGGGTGGGACGGAGGGATGGTATTCTAATGCATATGAACAGAACGTGTATTTTAAAAGGATAGGAACTGAATGCACACATCTTATTGCCAGAATAAAGTGCAAAAGCATTTAAAAATACCACTGACGAGAGGACACTAAACTTCAAAGGAATATTGAGCATAACAATATTCTAACATAGAGAGAAAGTTACCTGATTAATATAAACACACATTGCAAAACACCAGCAACTCCTGTCCACGCTGAGAGGCCTGATTTAACGAGTGCATCTTGTATCAATAGGCCAACTGAAGCCGCCACAGAGACAAAAGATACGACATAAGCGACAAAAAGCCAAAGCTTCAACCTGCAATCAAAAGTAGAAGGATTAGTGTTCTTGCTCCAAGCAAGCAAAGCTGAAGGAAATATCATTAAATAGTAGTTTAAGCAAGAAGACAAGCAATGAGGTATGAAATCAAAAACGTATTTGTCCTGGTTGCCTTAAAACTTGATCTACAAAAGTTTAACATAAGCACTTAAAGCCTTAGAAGCCTCAAAACACATACAGAATAAAACATCCACAAGTAAACTCACTTTTCATAAATTTTTGTTGTGTCAGACAAGTCTTCAAAAGGTGAGTACCAGAGCTCATTAACTGAAGCTACTTCAACCACCTCACTAGAAGACAAAGGAAATAAAAGAAAATATGCATTCCAGAAAGTATGATTGAGTGAATGAAACAGTGATTTCTTAAAAGATATGCATGTTTTCTCAGGCCACACACCCAAAAACAATTGGACAAAGAAAGAGAGAAATATGAAACAAAATAACCATTACACTGTGGTTTAACCCACCAAGGCACAAGGCAGAATATAAGTGATTCTTCAAAAGCTAATTACCTAATAGGAAATGGTTCACAGAAACCAAACTAGCGAAGGCACAGAAATACGATTTTTCATTCAAAGAATTTGCAGTTGAGTCGAAACAGGTGGGCAACACATTATAACTCAGGAAAAGAAAAACAAACCAACTTGATTCAAAGAATTTGTGTTGAGTTGTGATTGGTGGGCAATGTATCATAACTCTGCAAGCAGAAAACTTTAAAAAACTGGCCCCAAAAGGAGTCCCATGTTTCCCGACACACTAGTTGCATCACACAAAACTTACTAGGGTAGGCTGCAGCACGTGCTTTTAATTGCACCGGAGGTCCCTGGAGTATTGATTTTGTCTCATTTTGATATTCAATATTTCAATTGCATTATTTTGTCCATGAAGTATTGAATATATTTTTATGTGGTCCCTCAAGCAGACAACATCCAAATTACAAATGATTTTTGATCATAAACTTATCAAGTAATACCTAAATATGGGTAGTTCTTGACCAAAATTTGGTTAACTCTTAACCAAAAATGTGTAATATGGTAGCTATTGATCAAAATTTAGATAGTTTATGATCAAAATTGCGTAATTTGAGTAGCTCTTTGATCAAAATTTAGGTAGAAATTTGGTCAAAAATTATCCAAATTATTTTTTTTCCTCATATTTAGGTATTACGTAACAAGTTTATAATTAAAAATCGTTAGCAATCTGAATGTTGTCTGCTTGAGCGACCATATAGAAATACTAGTCATAACCCTTGCCTTCAAGGCACGATAAAATATAAAATTCTAGCATTTAAAAAATTGATCTTACTATACCAAATTTAAAATTAATTTATTTGCTTACATCATTTAAGATTAATTTCTAAATTTTATTTTCTTAAAAATAGCATCAAAATTTTCTTAAAATACATAACTCAATAAAATTTTTTCAACATATGTATACTATCGTGTATGAATAATATATAAAAAAAAAGTTGTGTTAAATTATAAATTAACTAAATATTAAATGATTGAACATGTGATGTTTTTTGGAGAGTAAATGTATAGAGGATAAATATTCAACTTGTTAATTGATTTATTATATAGATATTCAATACTTTAGGAACTAAAATGATGCAATTGAAATATTAGAAACTAAAATGAAACAAATTCCATTACTTTGAGGACCTTTAGTAAAATTAACCCTTATATTTATCTGGGTTTTTTTTTCTTCAGCAGATTAGTTTGGGTATTAGAGATACACTTCGTACGGAAACTCACATATCTTTTACAAGTGATGTTCTTGGACCACCTATACCCATATAGAATAGACATATTAGTTATACGACGTGGTTTGAAAAAAACATGCCAACTAAANTTATGCACTAAATATCTAACACTATCGATTTCTTACAATAGTGCTTCCATTTTGTTTTCCATTGGGATGTAAATGTATATATGCTTAGTTCATGTATTCTTTTGTACAACTAATGTAGACGAGATTGCATTTCAACCATAATTAATTAGTGATGCTAGTAAAACTGAACATCTAATAGAAAGGCAGATTAAAAGCATGAAATATTGAAAACACTAATTTTAAAACATTTGCCTTTGAGGACAAAGAATTCTAAATCTCTTGCTTTAATCGCAACAAAGGATGCATAGCAAATCACTAGGCAAGGCTTTAATTTGGAGGAAAAAGTTGGTTCTCAGTTATCTATCTAATATTACAAATATGAAGTTGAATTATCAACTTATAAAAGTACAACAATGGTCAAGATTGATCTAATGGTACAAAATTCATCCTAATTTTTTTTCCCCCCTCAAATTTATCATTTTCTCTAGGGTTAATCTCATTTTACACCCCGAAATATTATTCGAATCTCAATTTACACCCTGAAAGATTAAAAATCTCAATTTACACCNCCCTTTTTCTCTCCCGGATTAGAGCCATTTTATAGTAGTTAAGAGATCATTCTTGTGGAGATCATGACATATCCTCAAGGCTTCATTATCGCAGCTTAGAGATTATCTTTGGTGGAGATCGCGACTTATCCTTCACGGAAGGAAGAGGTTGGGGAGCTCTTCATGAAACGTGGTCAATGATTGGACCGTTTTCTTCCTTCGGTGNTTTTTTTTCCCCCCTCAAATTTATCATTTTCTCTAGGGTTAATCTCATTTTACACCCCGAAATATTATTCGAATCTCAATTTACACCCTGAAAGATTAAAAATCTCAATTTACACCCTCAAAGATAAAAATTTGTATCAATATGCACCCCCAAAGATCAAAAATCTCAATTTGCACCCTCAAATATAGAAATTTATATCAATGTGCACCCTAAAGATAAAAAATCTCAATTTGCACCCTCAAAGATAGAAATTTGTATCAATGTGCACTTAAAACTAAATTGATAAATTATATCTAGATCCCCTCATACTTGTCATTTAATCATTTAGACCTCTTTCACATTTAGAATATTACTCTTACATCTTATGACATTTGTGCACGTATAACACGTAACTCATTTTCATTGATATCTATTAATATAACCGNAATTTATTAATTTAATTTTAGGTGCACATTGATACAAATTTCTATCTTTGAGGGTGTAAATTGAAATTTTTTATCTTTGGGGTGCACATTGATATAAATTTCTATTTTTGAGGGTGCAAATTTAGATTTTTTATCTTTGGAGGTGCACATTAATACAAATTTCTATCTTTGAGGGTGTAAATTGAGATTTTTGATCTTTGAGGGTGCAAATTGAGATTTGAACAATCTTTTAGGGTGCAAAATGAGATTAACCCTTTTCTCTATACATAGTCAAATGTTAGACAAATCAACAAACACACTCTCCAATGTCAAACAACTCCATTAATTCATATATACCATGGTTCTGAATAATGATAACAACCGTCATAACTGTAACGGTAATGTTGTAACAGACGCGGGATGTAACGGATATTACGTAAGGGTAATAGAAACCGGATTCATAAATTTTTAATTTTTATTCACAATTCATCCTGAAAATGAATTTATGTATATTTCAACTCTAAAACTATTGAGATATAAGTTTTTAGTGGTTTATAATTTATTTTATTATATCATTATAACTTACTTTAGATCTTAAATGAGTTTAGCCTATATCTTAGCTTAAACATACAATTTATTTTATTATATCATTATAAGTTACTTTAGATCTTAAATGATTTTAGCTTATATTCAAAGTCAAGGGAGAAGAAAAAATTAATAGAAAAATATATAAAAAACAAAAGATGTTTTAATTCATTTGACCAGCCTAGACCCTTTTGACCCACATTTAATAGTTCTACACAACATGTGTACAGAAGTAAGTTCACCAAATGTTCACCTCTTCACTCAAATTTGGACAGGTGACAACCTTATCATTCACACACATTCCACCAAATCTGAAGTGGTGTTTTGAGAAGTGCAAAATATTGTATTGTTGTCTTCTCTCTCTTTCTCTCTCGTTGTCTACCAATTTTTCACCCCCAATAACCGACAGCTGATCAGCTAGAGGGAAACTCAGATTTCTCAGAAGAATGAGGCTCAAAGAGGGATGGGATGTTTCTAAAGGGTGGTTGACCCCCCCTTGTGCCGATGATGTCCATATTTTCTCACAAAATCAACAGCCCATTACAGTTGACCCAAAAAAAAAAAATCAGCTACAGGGAAGAAGAAACGGTGGAGCAAATGACCTTCCTCGTCTGTAAACTCTGTGGTACTTTGTGGCCAATGCAATGGTGCCCATGGCAAAGTCGAATGTGATTGTTTGAGAAATAATGTCGTTGCTGCCGAAGAGAGTGACTGCAAGCGGTATTGATTAGTGGGCTTCATCAATTTTGTAGTATTTTGTGAGTTTTTTCTTACCAAACTAATTGTTTTGGCTAAATTCGTAGCCTTTATCCGGGCATGAATTGCAATTTGATTTTTTTGTGTAAAAATTGTTACGATTTTGAGAAAAATTAGGAAAAATAGGGCAAAGCTTGGACGGGTCGACCTATTGCGACCCGGTATGAGAAATTTAGGTCATACTGCAGCATCGCGGAACCGTATGGGACGATTCAGTGACTATATCTTGGCAATTTGAGATTGACTCGGATATAATTCGGAAGACTCGTGCGAGACTCGAAATTTGTTAATATCGTGTCTCAGTATCGTCTCGGAAGGAGCCAAGTCATACGGCCGATACTTTGAACCATACTTTTTATCGCAGGCACAAAGTTGAAATGGATAGACAACACGTTACCTTACAAGAAAAATAGTGGTTTCTTCTTCAATTATCAATGAGAGAATGAGTTTCATTTAAGATATTCTAATCCATACACAATCAAGTACATGTGTTACCAGTGTGTTACCATTTGAAAAAATTACATGCTTAAGGCACGACAATCATAACACAAGGAAATGCACTCTCTAAGAACATGCTTAGTGACAACCTAGATGACCCAAATTCTTGATCCCAAATTATAACCTCAATCCTAGATTAACCAGAATCTAGGTATCACCAAATTGTGACCTTGGCCACAATTTGCAACCCTAATGGGTACTTTAGTTATGTATGTTAGTGATCCTTAAACTTATATTCTTATTTTGGAGTGATATGAATTTTTTTGTGATACAAATATGCAAGTACTAACTTCTTTAACTATTTTTCGATTCATTGTTTGCAGTTTCTTTTCTCAAAAAATAAAAAAAAATACTTTGTGTGGATTAGAGTTTAACTATATATAACTNGTCGATTCATTGTTTGCAGTTTCTTTTGCAAGCTCTTCTCAAAAAATAAAAAAAAATACTTTGTGTGGATTAGAGTTTAACTATATATAACTTTATATGATATTGAAATTGACCTAGATAAGAGTTCCGAATGGAATGTCGAATCAAAATAGTATACCAACTAAGTATCATCACACATCAAACCAATATACGATCCATGTAACATTAGGTTATAGTGTCTAATCTCATGTTCACAATTCTTGTTTTCCCCTTTGGTACATTTTATCCATGAGAGAGGAATATATTTAAACAAAACTCCTTTGCTTCCCTCCCCACAGAATGGTTACTTTTAATATTCACAATGCTTATTTATCCTAAAAAGAACAAAAGAAACACCCCAACACCATGATTGTACAAAGCTCCAAGCCAATCTCACATAATAGAAGCACCCCTGCCCCCACGAAATTGAAGCTCCCCTCTCCATAATGTATATTCGTTAAAATACTTTTTTCCCCTAAACCTGGGTACAACAATTCTAAATGTTAAAGTTTCCTGTTTGAACAAATTCATGTGATGTGTCCCAATGTGGTTGGCTATATCCAAATTGTAAGTTGCTAACCCAAAATGTTGACAATGTTTATCCAAAAGACTGCCCCTGATGAATAAATGGCTGTACAATGTTGCCATATAGGAACTTACCAGCTTAAAAGTGAAGTCTCATAGAGAACGGATGAAAATCACCCACATACAAATGGAGAACTAAATCATTCACACCAAAAAGCTAGAATTCTTTCCATTGGAATTTTTTGGAGATAGAGTGGGAGGAAACTAAAAACCTTGAACAAAAGGGAGTTTAACATTTTTGCTACTTGATCTGAAAATGGCTGCAAAAACAAAACTCACCACAACCCCTAGCTACATACAGTTTGAACTCAAAGTAATTTCCCCAACTTGAACAGACAAGAAATTCAGTGATTTCAATTAGCCATAATGATCTTTCAAATTGGTCAAGGCTGGATAGTTTATGGCCGGCCCTTAATTTTTTGGTTCATCTTAGTAGCCCAAGATTTGAGTAGGAACATTGCCCCTTTTGAAAAATTACAACAAATAAATTTTACGCAATCATCCTGACAAAACCCAATGGAAGCTAATAACAAAAATTGCCTGCAAGATTGAATAACAAAAAAAATCAAAATATCAAGAAACAAAATCTAATGCAATATATATGAACAGAAGGTTCTAAAAAGAAAACGAAATTCTGACCTCCACTCCCCTTCCTCGTATGGAGAGTAGTCTATGTCCTCCTTTCTAACGCAGTTGAACATCAAAGCGGCCAATGACGCAAATATACCTAGAAATATAAAAAAATCCACAAAATTCTGACTAAACCCTTCTAAAATATTTTATACATAGCATATATATCCATACATGAGAGAGATGACAGACCGGGGAAGTAGTGGAGGAAGGAGACCTTAACGGAGCTGCAAACGACGGCGTCCACCCAAAACCACCAACCGGCGCCGAAGACTGCCCCGGCGATGCCTGACCCGAAGATGGCCCACAGTTCCCCCAAATCCATACTAAAATTCTTCAACAGGTTCTCTTAACATTACCTTTTTCTTTACCGGGGATGTTGGTGTTCTAAGCAAGATTGGGAGATTCTTCAAAATATTTGATAGATGTGTTCTTTGTCTACATATGCTTCCTTAGATGAGAAGAAAGGCGTGTACAGGGAAGCCACCAAGGTTACAATTTACAAATATTTGCATATAATCTGCTTAATAATAAATTTAATCTATAAACAAATAATAGTTATCCTAGATTCTTAATCATATAAACAAGAGTAAAATATACAAATGATTGTTAATGGTGACTATTGTGTCAATTGAGTTCTTTAATTTTTTTTTATTATCAATTGAGCCTCTTAACTTTTTAATTGTATCAATTGAACCCTCTTGTCTGTTAATTTTCAACCAAAAGTGACAAAGTGTGTCACTTAAATGAAACAAATGAGTTGTAATAAACTACACATATGACATTTAAAACTATGGCCCTTTTGTCAATTGTCTTAAACTTTTTTTGTGTCAATTTAACTATTGAATTCTTTAATTGTGTCAATTGAGTCCTTTAAGTCTTTTTTTATCATATGGTCACGTGAGTGATACACTTTAACAGAGGCAATTATAAGGGCTCAATTGACAAAAAAATAAAGTTGAGGGATTTAATTGACACAAATATTATAGTTTGAAAATCACATGTGTAATTTACTCTATAAACAATAACAATTCCCCCTAAAAAAGTGAAATTTAACTAGTCTATTTATTCCTAATTAGTAATGCACAACGTGCAAGAAGTTCTACGCACATGAATAATTTAAATTATATTTTTTTTGTTGAATCTATGAAAATGTAAATTTTATGTGTAATTAAATTAATTCATGTCAAAAATTAATCTATATTTTATTTCTTGTTAAACCTAATGATTGAAAAAAAAATTAAATATAATATATATTTGATCTTAAAATCCAATTTGATAACTATACGTATATAACAATATAATACAAATTCGTCTTTATGTCTTCATATAGATATAGGCATACATATAAAAAAATTTATGCAAGTGCACTACTTATAAAGGAGTCTAAAAGAATTTAGAAGTCAAATACTACTTATAAAAGAGTTCAAACTAAATAAATTATGTTTTTGAAAATTAATTTTTATTAAGCCTAGTTATTAATCTATACATGTATTATACAATAATTTGAGTTATTAGAGTTACTATTGTAATTAAAGACCTAAATATATAATGTTATCTATATCTATCTATATCTATACTACTTTAAAATGTCAAGATACATGAAAAACTTTATTTAGACACTTTTGTCCTTCAAAATTTTGTAAAAAACAAAATCATCATTTGGAATTGGAATAACACTTGTGACATTGATCATATCTAAAGGGTCATTAAATATTTCACAATGAGTATTATTATATTTTCTTAGTATAGATATATCACTTTGATAGATTTTATAATATCAAAAATATTATATTAACTGTTCATCTTCTAATATTTTCATGATGCTATTAATTCTGTTATCTGTGTGATGTAATAAGTGGAAAGTCACATCAATTTATCTTCGTCCTCTAAAAATTAGCATAGTCTTCCATTTTTTTTACTATCTATTTTATTTATATGACTACTAAATCCAAAAATATTTTTTTCATCATTATCCTCAAACAATTGTATAAAGTCATATTAGTGCTAGATTACATCCCTACTATATCCCTAATAAATTGCATAATATCAATCATATTTTATTTTGTTATGCAACTCTTAGACTTCTCTCATTCTATAAATACACATTCAACTGCTCTTACCTAACTCATAGGCCCTTCACATTCGATCTGCATCTAATAACTTTAACTGACGCAAAACTTCTATAGGTAAAAATTCTTGACAAGGAATATGCAAGTCAACCAGTAAAACTTGAATCATTTCATCTTCCCTTTTTTTTTGGCTCCATTCACAATACAATAGAGTCAATTCACCTATATTATTTCAATATGCAGTGAATGTCAATAATTAATTAGAAGATGAATCATCCCATCTCACTTATTTGACATACTACTATACACAAAACTAAAAACTCTAATTGTTCTATTTGTAACAAGCACTCTCTTTTGAAACCTTTGTGTTCTGTTAATACTACCATAATTCATCTTTTAAACCCTTGTGCTCCATTCATGTTAGCATAATTTATCTGTCGATTCATCTGTTGGTAGGATCATCTCTTTATGTAGTGTGAGAATTGCTCGAGCCTCTTGAAAAATTTAATGCTAGCATAATATAATGTTTTCTTAACCAACGCTCTCTTTTTAAACTCTTGTGCTCCATTAGTGCTAGCATAATTTATCTTTTTAAACTTGTGCTCCATTAATGTTAGCATAATTTATCTATTGATTCATCTAGTGGTGGATGGATCTTTTCTTCATGTAGTATGAGAATTGCTCGAACCACTTGAAAATTTTCTTCTTGTTATATCACATGCACCCAAGCTCGATTGTAGAGGTAAATGTGGTTTTTCTTAACTTTGTGAACTAGTGTGTTCATTTGCTGAAGAGGAGTTTTGAATTAGTGTCTTGAAATATATTTTATAGAATCAATATCTTTCTTATCATGTGAATTATATAAAATTTGTGTTCAATTTCCATTGCATGTAGTACTGAAACTCACTTTGCACCTTCGCATTGCATCCCATAAGCAAAAAGCTTTGCACAAGTCTTCTGATAATATTAATGGTTTCAGTGAGATCTTTGAATGACTCATATGGAGGATGGTCCATCTAGCTAGATTTTTGTAATTGCTACTAGATATAAGGTATTGAATCTTAAATTTGATAATAATATGTAGTTAATATTTGAATAGGGTGACAAAATCTAAATTTGTTTGTCACTTTTTATTTTGCGAGGTTCAAACAAAAATGCATCTTAATTTGTGAGGATCAAACAAAAATTGCATAATATCAATATCAATCTTAATCTTAATTTGTTTGCCACTTTTTATTTTGCAAGGTTCAAACAAAAATGCCAAATTTTAGCCCTTGGTTGCAAATGTCATCAACAATCTTGGTGTTAATATCATCATTTTTGCTACAGTGGATATTTGACTATTCCACTAATTCATTGTCTCTCTCTCTCTCTCACACACACACACACACATATACATAGAGAAAGNCATTTGACTCTTCCACTAATTCATTGTCTCTCTCTCTCTCACACACACACACACACACATATACATAGAGAAAGAGAATCTACAATGAATGAAATCTTTTATATTTTTAACCTTTGACAAGATTATTTCAATGTTTCTATTTTGCCTCCCTATGACGTCATACATTTAGATCTTACATTCAACTTATGAGTTTTTAATNATTTGACTATTCCACTAATTCATTGTCTCTCTCTCTCTCTCACACACACACACACACATATACATAGAGAAAGAGAATCTACAATGAATGAAATCTTTTATATTTTTAACCTTTGACAAGATTATTTCAATGTTTCTATTTTGCCTCCCTATGACGTCATACATTTAGATCTTACATTCAACTTATGAGTTTTTAATAATTAAATAGTTTTATTGTTGTCAAGTATTCTTCCAAATTGATGCGGAAAGGGACACGATACTGGTTGTAGGAATGTTGATGGACCTTGCTTCTCTTTTACTCACTTTGGCATTTGTGTTCGTGGTTTGGTTAAGTCGAATCATTCAGGAAGTCCCCAAATTTGTAACAAAATTTGGAAATCAAATTAAGTTCACCTAAGAGACGTTATTTGGTGTATGTGTGTTAATATCATCGGGTCACGACTAGCGTTCATAAAGAGTTTTGATAAATTATTTCATGGAGTTTAGTCATTCTTCTTAACAATATTAGCAATAAAAGAAAATACATAATTCTAAAAGAATATTACAAGCTAAATTGGTATTCATCAACAAAGAAATTAGAACCATAAAATATAAAAACTTTATTGAATAATCAGTATAAAAAATCATATCCTAAAAAAAATAAAATTATCACTCAAAATTGTTCACGTGTAACACACGTGTCATCAACTAGTATGATAAGAAAAGTTTTGATAGGACATGGAAGGCAAAATGATGACATTAATAAAGATATGTGATGGATGATTGACTTTAACATTATTAAATAGGAATGAAATAGGAAATTAAAATTTTTTCACATATGCTGACATTTATAAATAACTAGTTATTGCACACTTACGTTGGACATGAACTATTTGAAATTATAATTGCAATGTTTATACTTTGCACTTAATCAATATATATTACTTACACCCAACACCTTCCATTCCTACCGAGCCACAGTTATGCCACAAAAACGCACCCTCATCCCCAAACTAATATGATACTTGTAGTGCTAACTTTCAAAATCATAACCATTACAAAATATGAACTCTTAACACATGGATTTTTAAAATGGTTGTGTTAATAAAACTAAAATTCAATTAAATTTGTCATCAACCCCATAAGCAGCCATAAGGCTGTATAATTTTTTCTCTACTACACTCTCACCACAAGGGTGATAATAGTCATGTTACATATTGAACTAAAGGTTCCAATGACCATCATCCAAAGAAGATAGAAACAAGAAAATACGAAAATAACTCATCTCATCCTACTTACGAGGTCACTAAAAGGCCAATTATAAGAGGCATTTGGGAAAAAAAATATTCAATTACTGATACAAAACTAATGCTCATTTTAAATTTTATACCTACTAACAATTCATTCCATAACATATTAAGAATTCAAGATAACTAACAAGAAAATATTATCTGGTGGGAGCTCATATTCTATGGTTGTTGATGTGTTCATCATCATATGACAAAAGCATTCACAACATAGAATTATTTCATAATTATATCAACTCACTCTTTTCTTGATTCATTTTAACATTTTAGGCACACATATGACCATATACATATGCTTAGTGTAGATATCAACGTATACCTTTGTATGTATAAGTCAAACAAAGCAATACATTTCTCAACT